CTATAAAAGGACTAGACTACTTAAAGCAAAATACAAATTCACAATTGAAAAGCATTTAATACCATAAAATAGACTCAATATGAAGTGGTCTGTAGTTTCTGTTAGAAAAGACACCGTTCGCTGATTGTAGGAGTGAAAAGCTGAAGAATAACTCAGACTTTGGCTGGAATCCAAAGAAAAAGATTTTACGATGGTAAATTTTCTGGTAGTTAAACTTCGGAAGTCAATATTTTCACGTATAAGTTAAATTATTCCGTCTTGTAGCACATTATTTACATAAAAACTAGTGAAATTACATGGTTACCCAAACGGAAGTAAAAAGACCAGGGTTTTACCGTAAAACTCACCAGCTAAGAAATTAAGTACTTTAACCACTAAGCCAAAACCTAAATGAAATACATTTAGCAGTGTCAATCATGAACTGACTGCATCTAAACAACCACTGAAAACCAGTATTTACTGGACAGTTATTTGATTCCAGTAGAGAGCCTCTCAGCTGTGTGTATCCACGACCACACCCAGGATTACACAGAAGACCTTCACATCTAGGAGTGGGGATTCACGCCTCTAATCACTGAGCTGGTATCAGGTGGCGTCTACCTCTAACTTCAGTCATTTCGCTATATTTCGTGACCATCATCTAACGTGATTGGTAGGTAACTGGCAGACTCATTTAAACTGGCGACAGCATATCATTGTAACCCTGGTCACTGCCTTTCCGAATTGGGAACAAGTGAAAACATGATTACCATCAGTATAAGCAGATGAGGTACTTTTGCAATGTTGAGGAGTGACTGAATTTCTAAATGTAAACTACTGGATGTCAACACAATGGTCTGGATATTAGATTTTCATCACCCAATTTAAAGGTCATGGAATTAATCTCTGCCAAGTTTAGAAATCGTTACAACTAGATAGATCAATGACAGTATAAAACACCTGTCTATTCTTCTCTTGTTTTCTGTCATTATCTAGTGACAGTCAGTCTCCAGTTCAACAATCTTCACAAATTTGTAACCATACGGATTATATTCATATTTTCAGAGGGGTTTTGTTGGATATCATAGTAATTTAATAGTTGAATTCATGGATGCCGGCTCAGTGGTCTAGGGGTTAAACGTTCACCCACGAGACTGATAGGTTCTGGATTCGAATCTTGCGAGGTGGGGTCGTGGATGCGCACCTCTGAGGCGTCCCATACTAGGATGAAACAGTCGTCCAATGCATCTACGTTTTCCATGGTGGTATAACTTCAGTTGATTCAACTATTAAAATATTAATATTTATTTAATGTTTTATTATTATTATTATTACTATTTTTATCACTATTTTGCATAATAAATTTCCGTAGAAGAAAGGAAACAATTCATTTTCTTTGATGAATGAACATTATCCTAACATAGAATAAGGTCAAGGATAATTTCAATGACAATATTAATTAATAACTTAATTAAATAATTAAGGTGAAACCCTATAAATACACATTGAATATACCTCAAATAAATGTACAATAATGATATTGTTTATTAATTAATCATTATTATTATTATTATTATTATTATTATTATTATTATTATTAATATTATATACTAATAGTATGGTTAGAAATACTTATCCTTATTGATATTCTATTGCATAAATGTACGATTATAAAAGAATGCTGAGGTGAAAATAAAACAAACAAATAAACAAACAATTGAATTTATTAAAAGATATGATTGTTATTCCATTCAATGTTGCTGGGGGGGGGTGGTTGATAAAATTATTTGAAAATGTATTAATAACGATAATAATAATAATATAATGAATGAATTAATGAACTTCCAGAATGTATGTGTTAATAATTGCACTTTTTTTCTTGGTAAATAACAAATAAAGTGAACATTAACAGAGTTAAGTATAGTGTTTATTGGGTGAACAATATTATTCTCAATTAAATCTTGGATCGGCTTTAATTATACAGTAATAAATGGTTGAAAGCAATGAACAACTTTTTCATCTAATGACACATGAATTAAATTAATAAAATTAATATAATATCCACAAAACCCCTTATTGATTATAATCATCATGTGCTCAATAGTGACTAACTTCAAGAGGGATTTCCTAAAGTTCGAATGAAAAGCCGTGATAAGTGTAGTTCAACCGGGTCTGTTGTGAGATAGTAACTCACTGATGACAATGGTGGACGGTGGTGCGATTTTGTGAACTGGTTGAAGTTGAACAGCAACACCGTCCGATGCCAGCTGACCCAGTGGTCTAAAAGTTAAGCGTTTGCGCGTGATACCGATACGTCATGGGTTCGAATCTCGCGAGGCGGGATCGTGGACGCACACTGTTGAGGAGTCTCATTCTAGGACGAGACGGTTGTCCACTGCTTCCAAATATCCCATGGTCGTCCAACCTCAATCCACTCATGAATCCAACTATTAAAATCACTATCATATCCACAAAACCCCTCTCTCATGCTCACTCTATGTTTGACTATCCGCAGGGTTATGAGTGAACATTGGTTAAGAGTTCCAAACTACGACGAGGTAATTGTCTATTATCTCTTGATTTCCAATATATGTTGAACTGTGGTAAATTCTCAATGTCCACCATGAAATTCGACAATCTTCACTAACCCATAAACTGATAGATTTTAGTCTGAGTTGTTTTCTAGTTTACCGGTTTTTTAGTCATGAAAAATGTATGTTTATTATTATTATTGTTATAATTCTTATTGTTGTCATTGTTATTATCATTACAACTTACTGTTAAGATTTTAAACTGGAATGATAATTTTGACAATAATTTTAGAAAAGCTATTGTCTAATGTTATGTGAATGGTTCTATCCTTTACAAGTAGTTTAAATGTAAGTATTTGTGTCTAAACTAAACTACTCCATGTAACATGGCTGATAATCGATCCCGATAGTGTAGGTGTATACATTCTCTGTCTTCCCTTAAACTGTGAGGTTGAAGTTGCCTTATGTCTTTCTTTCTACGAACTAGATCTTTCTTCCTGTATTATATTCTTGTATACAATCTTTCTTTTATATATTACTACGATTGAAGTAACTACTTCTATGAATTTGTTATTCATCTTGTTGTGTTAATGAGGTGTAGCAACTTGGAGCTAAGGTATTGACATAGGTGAATGAAAGTAATTGGAATGACAAAGGTTATATATATATATATATATATATATATATATATATATATATGCAAAAACAGGTCGTAGGTCATTTGGTGCTAGAAAAATACATGAGCTTTGGGTGATGCAATAATCAAGTGAGGTTCAGAGACAGATAAGATAGATTGTGTGATCATTTTAGAGGTAATGAAAGGTTAATAGAAGATTCCTGGAATTAAAAGACTGATAAGATGGATTGCATAATAATTGTACTGGATTTAGACAGTTTACACAAGTTTAGAGAATTAAGTGAATAAAAATGTATCAGTGAAAGTTTGGTTATAATGTACATAAAATGAGAATTCAGTAAGGGAAGCCCGCATAATAGAGTTAACATTAGCTAAACAAAACTAATGATCAAAGAAAAATAATCCAAACAATTCAAAAAGAGACAGTAATAAACTTATTACTACCCTGGTAAACCAATACATAACTAAAGTAACATTAACAATAATAGTTTCAATTAACCAAAAGTGATTGAAGAAAATTGAAGAGAAAATCACCAATAAGTAGATTTATGTATTTATACTAAACTGTAAATCATAATTCACAACACAATAATAGTAATAATAATAATAATAATAATAGAATAAGAATTGTATTAATTTATGTCCTAAAAAAAATTACATAACGAATATTAAACAACTTCTTTGTTAACTGACTTTGGATTTGATGAAAAAAAAAAAAGAAACGATAAACTTATATAGCCTCATAAGGTAAATTATTGACAATGTAAGTATAATTGTCTACTATTATAAATAAGAAAATCTTATTATTAATATTGAATAGAACTGATCATATATACACTACTATAATGTTCTCGGTCCTTTAGTACAAAAAGTTACAATTAATAGTTTTATATATGACGGTTTGTATGGTCTTGTTATTAATGTTAAGGACTGTAATTGATCTGTTTTTATTTTCATATATGTAATCTCTGTGAATTCCCATGATGTTGAACTTGAATTAGATTTTTACTAAATGATAACACCGAATGAATTCCGACGGGATACATATATATGGAAATAACAACTGATCAGTTTCAGTCTTCAACAATATCGACGAGTAAGTACAAAATATTGAAAGTAAAATTCATACACGTTGTATAGGTACAGCTAGACAAGTGGATAATGCATTAGCGTTTGATGCAAAAGTTACTACCGGACAGTCTCTGTGCGAATATGAACACTCTTATGTAGGGATATCCGGATGACGAGTCCCAAAGAGGACGAAATATGAGTTCTAAAGTACATACCCAGCCACTTTCCAATCACAATGGTTTTCAGACTTTAAACATTTTAGTAATAGCACAAAATTTATATATCAGTGTCGATTAGGTTATAAAATTTCATATTACACTAAGTATATATATATCACCGCTGATTTTGATCTGACTTCCATTGAATGTCATAGAATAATCAACTGCTTTTTCATCCTAGCTAAGAATGACTAAGTAGTGTTCAACTAAGACTTTTACAAATATGATACTCAGGACCTTCAGACCATTTAGCAAGAACTCTACCTTCATACTACTGAGGTGACGTTTAACTCAAATTGCGAAACCATATCATCAGGAATAGATTTTAATCTCAGTAGTCATGCTATTATAACATTATACAAACCATAAATGTTAACAATATCCTTAGCAATAGGTAAAAGTACAGTTCAATTGCTTTGAGTACAAATTAAACACGTGTAAGGGTATGATTCATTACAGCTACATTCTAAACTTTTGGTAACTAAGCCAGGAATTTATAGATAATTAACAATAAAATTACATTTAAAACTAACATAATACACTAATAATAAATAAATTATTTACTTTTAAAAGTGCTTTTTCTGGTTGATCATGTACGAGGTCAGTAGATTGACGTTTTTCCCGATGATATAAACATTCTTGTGTAATATGTAATGGATTTTCAATTTCGGCGAATGCTTTTTCAGCAATTCGTTTAGATTCATTTAATTTATTCATTTCATTAATAAGTGCATCAAGTTCGTTATTTAATTCATGTTTCATATAATTGATATCATTAATTCTTTGACCTAATGTTAGAAAAAGAAAATAAACGTATTTGATAATATCATTGTATTAAAACCTTGACAGCAAACTCGGACACAAGGCCTCCTCCTGGCTCTGTTGAGGTGATAGAGGCAAATTTACTGACAAAACTGGACGGTAAGACTAATTCACCACTCAACTTGGGTTCCAACCCCGATGCTCTAAAATCTTACGGGCCGCCTGATGTGTATGCTTGTACATATGAATTTCATGAGTCTCAGCATGTTTAATTGTGTATATAGGTATACACAGAAGCTATGTGCCAGACTGGAATGTTAGCTGTATATCTAGTGAGATCAGAGGCCTAAACCAACAGGTCGAAGACAAAAAAAGAAATATTAGCAAATATTGAGAAAAGATGACCATCAGTCCTTTCTAAGACCGCTCAAGACTATGTGTATGCCATGAAATAGATGACCAAAGCTCCATGTACTAGTGGTATGCATCTAATTTGTAAGAGGTAGTCAGTTGCAGCAAACACATTTGAAGGGATTGGTGACCATCTGCCCTCTCAAGTGAAAAAATATGCCTATATCTATGCCATGGGATGAATGGGTAAAAACTAATATATTACCGGTAGGCATGTAATGTATACTTGCTCTTGGTAAGACGTCCATGCACCAAAACCCAAGAATACCGATTTCCCCAAGAAATAAAATCCACGCAGTAGGTTTGTGAGCCTTGAAACAAGAAAACCACTCAGGTTTTGTCCGATCGAGTTTGAACAACCCCCTTAATAGCTGGAATGCTACCATCACCGTTAGTCCCTTCATAACAATGGTGTTAAATTGAAAGGTTAGGCTCACTAAGATGCGTTGGCATTCAATGAATAAGTTTCAGATAGAATAAGTTCGACAAGTAAAATAATGTTATGAACGTATCCGAAAAATTGCTTTATTTTTCATAATTATAGAAACAAGGGAAACTAATCACAATGCAACAATGAAATAAACTTGAGGGAAATTTCTGACTTTTTAGACAGAAACAGATGTAAGAGAAGTATGCTTCTGATTTGTGCTCTTTTATTATGGTGTAGAAACAGATGCAAGTTGATTTGTAGTGGGTCTGAGATATTCCAACAAGTTTCAATTTATACCACACATACCTTAACAAGTTTGTTTTCATTTCCTAGTCTCTAGCAAGGAAACATATTCTTCTGAATGTCAGTTTGACCAGTTCGTGTCACAGCTAATGAAAGTTACAATGTCTTAATCTAACCAATATTCCGTTTCATTTAATTTGCTTTTTCATAGACTAACACCTTACAACCAGAATGAAAATTATATGACCGGCTATGAAAAACATATTATCTTAACATAACTAATGTAGATAATATGTGACATTGTAATGAAAGTATACAAGCCGATTGATTTCAAAGCATTTAGTCAATAATAAAAAGTCGTGATTACCCTCAACAACTGGTCACTGTTGTCAAAAAATACTTATGAAAAATAAGTGGATAAGTAAATGACAATGAACTTTTGAAAGAGACAGCCAACCAATTAAAATTTCTGTGGGAACATCAATTACTCCCTGGTACTTGTTACGTGACAACAAAAATTGATATAAATTATTTTTTAGACACCTGGTTTTAGTAAAGAATAACTATACCGACATTTATGCAGCTAGATAATTACGTCTTATTGATCAAATAAGTAAAACGTCACTCTTGCAAATGGTTAAACTAGAAAATGGTGACTAAGACAAAGACGCCCATTACTCGTTATTAATGAATGTTCATGAGAACAAATTTTGTGAAACCCTTCGCTTGTGAACTACAGTTGATTCAATTAAGACACGTACGTTTAGTACAAGATGTGCTCAACTCAAGTTGATTTATTAAAACCGAATCACATCGCAAAATGATGATTACCAAGCTCAAAATAACCTGAATGATGTTGGCGATGTCATTCATCCTTAGTGCTATCAAAACGCTAGTCACATTAAAAGACGTCAATAGAAGCAATCGGTAAAATAAATTCTGATCTTTCCTCGTAAAATATCACCTTTTCCAGCTAAAAATGTCCAGTGACTCTATATCCTCTGCCTTAGTATTCCCCAAAAAGTTCAACTTGTCCGTTGGCAACACCACGGCAGTCATTCATATTTCCGTGAATATTGGTTTTGATCCAGTAATAATAATTTATTCAATGTCATGATCTTAAAATAATTGCTTAATTGGTTTGGACATGGTTTTCATATAGGGATCCAGAAGTTGACATACTGAACAATCTGCAGAATCTACGAGGTTTTGTAGCCAAAGGCAAAGAGGTGCTCAGTTTAATAAAGCGATAATTTTATCATTTTATTTCGTATAGTGCGCTCTTTTGTAACTCCACCTGTGGCTCTTCTAGAGTTACTGCCGGTCCCAATCCCGGTTAAAGAATGAGGGTCGGTAACCCCGTCCTGTAGAAAACAATCTCGCCGAAAAAACGCTGATTAGATTATGCACTCTTTTGTTTCCCACCGTACCACTTTATTTATGTGATAAATAAATACAGCGAAACGAGAGATAATATTTAAGACGAGACTAAAACTCCAACAAAGTTAAACAGACAAACAAATCGTATTAATTTATGTATTCCAACAGTAAATCACAACGTCCTTAAGGCATTGAAACTTTATATGTCATACAAATATTTAAACTAAGAATCTGACCAAATTAAAGCAATATTATATGGGGTTTTGTTTGACATTCATTTTTCAAGGCACTTCTTTGTAGTTTAAAAAAAGAAGCAACACTAACCAATGTGGACTTTTTTATGGTAGGAAAACTTAACGGAACTTAACGGAACGGTAGCCTGATAGATGCTTTATGAATCAAAGTCAATATTCAAAAACAAATCCATATTTCTGAGTCGACTGTGTACTTTACACCTCCATGAAATTCCCGACAAACGAGAAATACTATGAAAGAGTGTATATTCATCAATGATAAACGAAAAAAATCGCATATAACCATACTGAAACTCACCAAGTAGTCTGCCAACTTCCTGTTGTGCTCGTTTAATTCTGTCATCTGCTTCAACTCCCAAACGTTCTCCATTTCCTCTTATATGTTCAGCTCTCTTCATTGCCTGCTCTGAGTTTGACAGCCGAGTAAAGTTACCCTTAGTCCAGTCGGCAGGCGTATATCTTGTGTATAAAGCGTTGCGTGCAGCTGAGTATATAGAAGGAATTCTTAAACCCTCCAGTTCATGTAAACCTAGCGAATCTCCAGTAACGTTGACAATGGGACCCAGTAGTTTTGCTGACTTGTCATCATTAAAATAAGATAATCGGTCCGGGGAAAAATGAGACTTGGGGCGCCAGGGTGCAAATGATCTGATATTCCTGTGCGTATAAATAGCTGGATAACTGCCTTCTGTTATATCATCAAATCTTCCTGAAGATCCTGATCTTGCATATTGCAAAATATCTGGTAAATTTGATGCACTGTGACTCAGTCGTAGTGGTTTTTGAAAATAACGTTCTGTCATCAACTCCATTTGCAAATTATTTGCTAGTAGGATAAGGAACATGATTATTTGTTGTTAACTAAGAACTTCTAATCAATAGCATAGGAACACGAAATTTTAGCTCCGACATCAATGTTAACAAGACTGTACGACAATAATAATTAAATTCACAACTTAGAGTGAAATAAATGAATACTACTGTTCTTTTTCTTTTTATGTTAAGAAAGTTAAAGGCGAGTAGAACGTACATTTAATCCATTATCAAATTCAGTGAAACATACTATAAAAAATTGTGACGAAAATAGGGATGATTTCCATGATAACGTCGTCAGTTGTTTTCATTTGACATGTAACAGAAACAACTCGAAAACAAAAGGTTAAGATAGCTTCCCAGATCAAACTCATGACACATAAAAGCTAAAGTTCAGAATACAAATAATTTCATGCAGTGGCCACCTTAAACACTGTTAACCCTAAACCTTCTCATTTCTACTTAACAAGAATATAATTCGATTATAAATAAGCTTCAGTAGGTACATGTATTCAACCAAGAGTCAGCTAAACGGAATCTCATCAAAATGATTAGATTGTGGTCGGATTGGGATTACCAATTGTAGCGTGGCGTCGAGTTGAGATTAACTATGAACACCGCTACCAAGATATACGTGCCAAATAGATCAGAAGGCGTAAGAAGCTCGTTCCAAATGACTCCATAAAATCCCCGAGAAGCCGAATACCAGAAGGCAATTAATGGACCAAGTCGAGGTTTATTTGCTGGCGATCTCGTGGCATCGAAAGGATACCGAGATCGTGCCAGGATACAACCTTGGTTACAGAAGGTAACCGAATTCGCGCGAAGTTACAATCAAAGTGTAAGTATAAGAATGGAAGCACAAAATAGCTGTCATTAGCACAGTCAAACAAAAGCACGTTAAAACAGTCACTGGTACAGTTGGTTATAATAATAATTGTTTTTATTAAACCAGTCGTGTTCTCGTGATAAATGTGAGTCACTACAGGAGCCCCCCGCTAGAAAGGGTTAACACTTTCGATAAATAGCGGTTTGAATCGTGGGACTGATCGGCTGACGAGCGATTGTAGGACGGAAAGATTGGCGAACAGGAAAGCGATCGTTGATCGTCGAGTTGCCAACGAAGGTCGTTTTCGGAGAACAGTACCAGGAGCGATGTGTTGTATTGATTGCTCGAGTTGGCATGCTACACCAGAGTGGTTTGTATCCAGAATCTGAAGAGGGCGTTCGTAGAGGTGCGCACCAGAAACGCTGCAGACGTAGGACGAAACCACGTTGAGCCAAAAGACCAGAAGCGACCGTAAAGACCAAGTTCGAGACCAAGCGTATGCCAAGCATTCGAAACCAATATATCGACTGAAAACGTTGACAAGAGCATGGGTGGCCAATCCAGCTTTCGCCAAAGTTGACTGAAGTCGACGGAACCAAACAGAGATGGTCGAAGGCGTGGGCTCAGGAAACAAAAAGAAAAGCAAAAAAAGAAGAGTGTAGCATACGTGTAGTATAGGAATAATCCTACACCGTATCGGTAGCTGACTGTGCGACTATTCGCGGAAGCGTACGGGTAACCGTACTCGGCGACCGGAACGTGAGACGGCAGTCTCGTTCGCGTCGCGTGAGCCTGCAATCTCATCCGAGGTCAGAGGCGGCGTGGTCTGCTGATCTGGACGTGAGACTATCGTCTCGTCCGTAGACGGTGCAGATGACGCGTGCTGTTGACCGGGACGTGAGAATGAGGTCTCAGATGCATCTAGCGTGGGACCTGAAGATGGTTTGAGGATCCCGCTAGGTTTAATAGGTCTAGCATTGAATCTCAGGTTACCAGATAGGGCACTGTCATCGACGTGTGCTGGTTTGAGACGATCAACGCTGACGATCTCGACGCGTCCATGTCGATCAACCTTGAAGGTCTTTTCGTGACGAGCGATCACGTGAAAAGGGCCTTCGTAAGGTTGTTGCCAAGGTTTGCGTACCGAATCTACTCGTACAAAAACATGTGAACAGGTAGATAACTCTCGAGGGAGAGCGACCTGTCGATGTTGTATTCGAGTTGACACCGGAGACAGCGTTCACATAAATGCAGACAGTCGACGGACGTTGTCTGATTTACCGAAATTAGGTCTGCTCCGTGGTGTGAAGGATTCTCCGGGCAGACGCAATGTCGTGCCGTATACCATTTCAGCGGCGGAACATTGTATATCTGCCTTCAAGCTCGTTCGAATACCTAAGAGGACGAGCGATAAGGTTTCGTACCAGTTGTCGTTCTCGTGTGCTCGTAGAGCACTTTTAAGTTGGCAATGAAACCGTTCAACTTAACCATTTGGTGCTGGGTGGTAGACGGATATGCTTATGCGTATGCATTCCGTACCAAGCAGCCGGGTCAGCGAGGAGAATCGTTAATAGGGTAACATTTCTCGAATAGAGCGTAAAATTCATCATCACGCGAATAAAAAGTGACAAGGATTCGATACACATACGTGTGAGTCTATTATATTAATACTATTCTTATCGTTATCCGTCATGTCGCGTATATTATATATTAAAAATTAATATGAAAATATACGACAGACGTGGATAGATAAATCATAGACTCACCGAATTGGCTTCTCTCGAAGATTTGACCAGAAGCTGAGGCGTGTTCCAAAATACGGGTCACCAATTGTGGTCGAATTGGGATTACCAATTGTAGCGTGGCGTCGAGTTGAGATTAACTATGAACACCGCTACCAAGATATACGTGCCAAATAGATCAGAAGGCGTAAGAAGCTCGTTCCAAATGACTCCATAAAATCCCCGAGAAGCCGAATACCAGAAGGCAATTAATGGACCAAGTCGAGGTTTATTTGCTGGCGATCTCGTGGCATCGAAAGGATACCGAGATCGTGCCAGGATACAACCTTGGTTACAGAAGGTAACCGAATTCGCGCGAAGTTACAATCAAAGTGTAAGTATAAGAATGGAAGCACAAAATAGCTGTCATTAGCACAGTCAAACAAAAGCACGTTAAAACAGTCACTGGTACAGTTGGTTATAATAATAATTGTTTTTATTAAACCAGTCGTGTTCTCGTGATAAATGTGAGTCACTACAAGATATCTAAATGTGCGCACCTTAGGATGGGGATTAGATATTTCGAAACCCGGCATTTCAACCTCATTCTTTTTAACGTCAGTTCCAATACAGTGTATTGGTAAATTGCTGAATTAATATTCGATAGCCACCTGTAAACATAGTCTTCAAACAACATTGCATATATGCATTTGAGTGATCATATATACATATATATATTTATTTCTTCATGCTAAACGACGGGTATAAAAGCTTCTTTCAATATCAGATAAGTAATCGTGCAACTTTGATAGCCAATTTATTTTTAATGTCTATTATTAATTGGGAGCTCGCAATTAATATTGGACTAGTCTAAATTATCTTGACCAGCTAATCTTTGGGAGTTTAATGCCATTTAAAGCACTAAAAATTAAGCGCTTAATGGAGTATCAGTGAATAAAATACTAGGCTTTAGATGAACAACATTGCATAATTAAACCTACAGCCAACTTTTGAAAATGAGACTAAATATCCAGTCTGGTTTTACCGCTGTAGCAACGAGAACATATGACCTTCAGTGAGTATAACGTACGAGTTTCAATAAAAATAGACTAGTATTCATTACTTCAAACGTCCCAGTACCTCTTTAATACTTTTTTGTTAGCTCTGATTCGAAACGTGTCGACATTGAATATTTTTAATCCCAATAGAATGAGTATGACATTGCTCAAATCATTCGTATGTGATGTGTTTTGTAACTTTGTAACATTCACACTGATTTTTAACTAATAATATGAACAGTGTCATTATACTTCAGCTTCATAAAGTTACGATGACTTCGGGTGCTTTCTGAAATGCTGGGTAAGTCCTTGTGGGAAATAAAATCAACATCTGATATGACGACGACTAATCATACCCCTGGTAAATAATTGCGTAACCACAACAAACGCTCCGTATTTGCTTATCTTACAGATTAAGCGAATATATCTAAGACAGGGTTAAAATTCCGATCATTTGTTTGGTAACTAGATAGAAAACACTCAACTCAACACGTCATGTTATCAAACCGTTTTATTAAAATGAATGCTCACCAGATAAAGTGGTGAATTTCTAAGACAGTTCTATAAGATCAGTGAAGTGAAATAAATCCTAATAAAATCTGTTTACCATTCTGAGCCTGGTACAACCTCAAAAGTCCTTGAACTACTTATCATATTCCGTATAGGCCAAAGATACCTAACGAATGGCTGTAGCAGTTTAATCGCTCACTGTTTTCTATTACCTCACCATTTTCGCTTCTATGTAGTACAAGTTCCGGTTATTCTTTTTTTCAGTCTTCTAAGCACTAGGTCAGGAAAATAAGGCTGGCAATCTATAGAGAAGTGTAGCTTTATTAAGACATTAAATAAGTTGGAAGTATGTACACTTCTGGACAAACTCAATAAGATTAAAAATTTTAATCAAACAACGTACAAAGAATAATCGAAAAATGTAATTTAAATCAACAACATTTTTGCAGTCCTATAATTATCACACAAACAGCATTGACTAGGGTGGATTCAAACCCAAATACCAGTTTACCAAGAAAAGCAGCCAGAAAAAAAGGGAAGGAGAATTTCACGCGCAATTAAATGTGCACAGAGCTAACAAACTCGACACATACAATATTTAGAAACAATCTGATAGAGTTCAGTTTGAAGTTACGATCACAGAAGTAATAGGTTACATTTTTGATATATACCTAATGTTCATTCGTCACGTTCATATGCATAAACCAGATTCTCACATTTTCTCATTTTTAAACCTAATAACATTTTCACTGCAATAATTTCTAAGCACTGAACTTGAGACTCTGTAGCGTGGCGTCGAGTTGAGATTAACTGTGAACACCGCTACCCAGAAACACGTGCCAGACAAATCAGAAGGCGAGGATCGATCGTAACCAGATTTATTTCGTTGGCGATCCCGTGGTATTGAACGAATACCGAGATCGTGCCAAGGAATGGTACAAGTGGAAGCAGAAACGGGAGTACGTGCGAACAGTACCAAAAACCGCGGAACAATAATGGAAGGTAATGGAAGCACAAAATGGCTACAATCAGCACAGTAAAACAAAAGCACATTAAAACAAACACTGGTACAGTTGGTTATAATAATAATTGTTTTTATTAAACC